CCCCTTGACCTGATCTTAGTGTGTTGTAGGACTGTGTCTTGTAGTTCGAATTACAAGTCATCTCAGAAAAAGAGCTACTCATCATACATGCTCAGAACTGTGTTTTCCTCCTTCTCTCATTTCTCTGTTGGGTAGAAAGAAAACATACTATAACAAAAAAAAAGGATGAGAAAAGAAAACCAGAGAAAAAAAAACCAAAGAAAACCAAAGAAAAGAAAGAAAAGGAAAAGGAACAAAAAAAGAAAAAAACATACTTCAAGTTGCATGTTTGATAGCTCAATTCAAGAGCTGGGAAAGGGTTTTCTGTTATGTGCTCTGAATCTCTTTCAACAGGTCCTGAACATGTACACAGATGTGAAGTCTAGTATGAGTTGATCACTAATATCTACGATATTTTACCAGTTTTTTATTATTTTTAATATGTATTAATAAAGAAATGAATGGTTTTTGGACTTAACATGCTACTTTTAGCATTTTCATGGGTTTTGAAGTCAATACAGGTTTTTGGAGTATTTTGGGCCTAAATGGAGTGAAATCAAGCCTTTTCAGTGAAGGATAAATCTTGATCTCATATGTATCGCCCCAGATGAAAACGTTTCCACCATCACATCAATCTCATATTTTACCACGAGAGAGAGGAGGATCTCAGCTTCGAAATTAATATCGATTACTACAATCCGACGGTTAGATCTTGACCTATCTTCAATCTAAGGAAATCTGTTCGAGTAAGGATCAAGCTAAAGGCAGTTCAGGATATTCACTCATGATCGACCGATCATCATAGGCGATCGACCGTGAACCCACTGTTTTTTACGGACATACGCTTTAACACGGTGATCGACCGATCACAGGAGCTGATCGATCGATCACGACACCCGAGAAGATTGGGAATTTTTCTTTTTGAAGATTTTCTTTTAAATCCTTTGGAAAAAGCGCTAGCCGACTTCTAAGCCTATAAAAAGAGACTCATCAGCCTCAAGAGCAGACACACGCTCACCACCATCATCACTTCAAAATACTTGGTTCTTCACAAGTTACAAGGCATTCAACTCTTTCTACTTGTTACTTTGCTTGTTTGG